TATGCCACCAAGAATTGAGGCAGTTCTGAAGGCAAAAGGGGGTCCAACCCGTTACTAGCATGGGGTACCTAATAAAGTGGCCGGTGAGTGTACACTTGTGTTTATTCTCTACAGAGCAGCAAGAAGTAAAATGTTTGTGCACTATGAGCACCTGAAAGCTTCTGCTTAACTTATTAGGTGCAATTTTTGCTGGTTTATTTATTAACGGCAAAAAATATAATAAATAAAAAATAACAGTTTAAGAGCCGCCATAACTAACAGGTTTGTTTAAGCAGTAGTTTTTGTAATTTTCTGCTCTAAATGAAAGCAGGTAGATCATCTATTTTGACTTTCTATTCATAAGAAGCTGGGATAAAAATCAAGCGTTAAGTCATTAAAAAGTTTATTTTCAAATAATTATTGATTTACTTTGGTGCAGACACTTATCTTCTGTGTCCAACATTTTCCTTTAAATTTATAAAAAGGACATCAGATTCCCTGCACTTTGACATTTAAATTAGATAAACCCCCAGCAGAGATTTTAACAGTCTTCCTTTGAGCTGTCTAACAGCTCCGCATCCTCAAACAGCTGCAAATTGTAAAATAACAACCCGTAAAGTCTTTGGGTACATTTTATTAGAGTAGATATTTATTTTACTTGCCACCATTAACAAAAAGGTAGGATTTACCAATTATAATCTAGCTAACTTGCTATTTTAAGGTGTTTTCTACATGATTTGCACAGATTGTCATCTGACAGAGAGCTTTTTTTGCCTTTTGCTGGGCTAAAGAGATCACCCCCTCCCCCAATGATTCCTTCCACAGATTCCTTCCTTTTTAATGCATGCAAACCTAACATAGAGTGAACAGCCAGTTCTTGTGACATCCTGATCTTCTGCTCCTTTGCTTTTTGTCAGTCTTTTCCTCGCCATCTTACTTCCACCATCTTCTCCTGCCATCATGACCTTTGTCTTCGTGTCTCGGAGGCACGCTGCTGCTTTTTCCTTATCCTTTTATCCTTTGTCTTCCCAGCAGTCTCCTGCCACCTCTCAGACCCCAAGGCCGTGTCCTTTGACCTCGGCCAAGGTGGCACCGTCTCCCTCTACCACACTTTCCAGTCCTGCCCTCCAGACCACTTCCTCTGCTTCTTCCTCCTCTTCCTCCTCCTGTCCTGCACTCCGCCCTGTGAGCTAAAACCCTTTGAAAGCAGATTTCATGTTTAATTCCTGCTGCCCTACTGGAAGCTATTGTCAGGAAACAATGCTAGGATTTGTTGCACGAGTTATTTGATATAGTTTTTTTTTCTCTAAGCAAAATAAGAACTAGTTTACTATACTTTTTACAAAATATTATATATTCCTTCTGACAGCAGAACCTTTGTTTAGACTACCAGCCACTTATGCTTAATTTTTAGATCAGATTTTAGACATATGATATAATGTTAAATACTGAGGTCATTATAGAGTGATATTTTAACATTTATGCCGACATTGAAGATCTTCCTTAAATGCAGCCTTTAATGCTATCTTAGACTTGATTGGCTTTGTTCAAAATGTTCACAGACCCACACATTCTCATCTTCATACTTTGGATCTTGTGCTGATATAGGGCATTGATTCAAAAGAAATATTTCCTCACAGCCATATCCTAGCAGACTGCTTTTTAATAGCCTTAAAATTTAACTTTGGAGAATTCTCTTGTTCCTAAAGAAGTTTTCACTTTAGCAGATTTTTTATCAGATAATGTAATACATTCAGAAAAAAACTATAATATGTTTTTCCATATCTCTGTATCACCAAAACAACTCTGCATAGGGCCACCATTTGAAATACTCTCCTTCACAAATTAATGGTTTTGTTTACAAAGTTATTTGTTCTCTGTGTACTCCTTTGGAGCGCAGATATTTGGTATATATCTCTGTTATTTTGTATCAGGACTGCTAAATCAAAAAAGTGACTGAAGTGACTGACTAAGCAGCTTATTTTTCAAAGACTGTGGTTCAAAGATACTAACTTCTCTTTTGTCTGCATTTAAAAGCAGATACTTTATAGTCATTAAGGTTTTTAATGTCTTTAACATATACACGTAGTCCATGTTGTTGTAATGCTATAGGCACTGTGTGTTGAATCCTGAAAGATGTTTTGGTGCCAAGAGGAAGCAGAACCTAGATGACAAAACCATTGATAGCTTCTAGATATGATTTGTCTTGTTATTTATTTGTGCACGGGCTTAAAAAATATGTAATTAATACTTTTAATGGATTACTTTCTTTCTAAGTCCCTTTCTTGTCACTTCCTACCCTTTCGTGCTTCTCTTCTGTTAAAAAATGTCCACTGAAGTCAGTAGACCAGATGTGACAGGAGCGCCGCGGCACCTGACGTCTGTTCTCTGTGGCCTCGCTGCGAGCAAAGCGTCACGTCCTGTTTATCTCTCTGTCTCTTTCCTTGCTCTTTCAGAAGGGCCCTGTGGCACCGACTGTGGCGGTGACGGCTCCGCAGCAGACCCCCGTGGTCATGACCCCGCAGGCTACCACCCAGTCTACCTCCCAGCCAGCTCAACCTACACAGGCGAGCATCGCACCGGCCCCCGGAGCTCCAGTCGTGTCCCAGGTTTGTTCCACGTCTTTCGCCCTAACAGGGTACAGCTGCCACAGGGTGTCCGGCTCTGGTCCGTCTTCTCTGCTACATCACAGGGCCAGACGTGGACAAGGAGTCTCACACATGCCCACTAACATTTGCACCACTGCATTCACACCAGTGCATACTTAAGGACATGCAGTCACCTTCAAGTCTTGCTTCTGTTCAGCCAGGACCTCCATAGATCTACATAGACACATGAACATAGATAAACATTTGCCACAAGAAGCACCAATTCTGACTAATATATACATACCCATTTAACTTATGGTATGATTACAAATATTTCCGCTTGTTTTTCTCCCAATGTTTACATCTGATCACTGCTGCACTTTAAGAAAAGCAAATGTCATGAAAGCTGTACAAATCAAAATGTCGCTTTGTATACACTCTGTGTATACAAAGCGACATTAAAGTTTGTCTAAGTCTAAAAGGGAAAGAGACTGTTGAGATTTGTTTGTCTATAGCCTGATTTATTTCTTTTTTAGTACTTATTTTTGAAAACATTGAAATATTTATTCATTATATTTTACAGGAAATGCAAGAAAATGTGAAGAAGTGTAAGAATTTCCTGGCCACACTTATCAAGCTGGCATCTCACAACTCTCCATCTCCTGAGACCTCCAAGAACGTCAAGGCTCTGGTCCAAGATCTGCTGGTGGGTGTCAGAAACCAAACCACCTCTGTTGTCTTGGTTACCGCAAATTACAGCAGCAGATAGCCATTTATCTGTAATATAAGCTGCCCTATGAAAATAACATGTTTGAACTAAGTCAACTTTGACCTTTTAGCTTTTTTTTTTTTGCATTGAATATTTCCAACCTGCAGATGGCAGCATGAAACTTTTTTCCACAAATGTCTTTCTCTGTCATGAATTTACAGCCTTCATGCTACGATTATACCCTGGAGTTCCAGGATGGCGGTTTGAAAGGATTATCGCCTTTGCAAGTGTTTGGGTTTCATCATATTATGCTGGAGTCACAGTGCTAATCTGCCTGCTCCTTGTTTTTTTTCACTCCTCTCTAACTGACAGGATGCCAAGATTGAACCGGAGGAGTTCACCAGCAGGCTGCAGACTGAGCTCAAGTCGTCCCCACAGCCTTACCTGGTGCCTTTCCTCAAGGTTCGGGACTTCCGTTGATCAGATAAAATGAAAATGCTTCACAGGCTGATTTCTACATTGAACCCGCTGACCTTCCGCTCTCAGTTCAAAAATACAATACCATTCTTGACTTTTTGAACTTTTTCTACATTTTGTCACATTACAACCATACAGTTCTGGTTTATTTAGATTTGATTTGTCAGCTTCATTTTTATGTAATCCGAATGAATAGAAAACATTCATAGTTCAGTCCTTTTGAGTTCTCTACAACAACTTTGCTCATCCAGACGACGCCATTTTGAATAATTCTTTGTGACAGAACTCAAACCCCATCAGATTGATTGCAGGATGTCTCTTAGCATCAGCCTCCCAGTCTAATTCAGACTCGATCCAAACACCTCAACTTGTAGCTGCTATTTCCTGTTCCTAGCTCCTCTCATGGGGTCAACAGTTATAACTCGATTCTGAGCAGGAAAGGAGCTCCAGATTGCTGTGCTGAATCCAGACAGCTTTCAGCCTCATTATGTGACAGACACACATGAATGATGGTGGGTAAATTGGGACTACAGCCTTCTGGAAAAAGAACTACAAAAACTAGTTATGGACATGTATAAAATGGCTGAAGCTCTCCATTAAAAAGCCCAAAACATATAAAGGTGGGGACATTAGCATATGTCACACAGAGTGTTGATCTCTGTGAGATAAACTGTGCTGTCATACATTGGATTGTGGGCAACTGTATAGCTCCTTGTGGGGGCCAAGACTTTCATTAGATCCCTATGCTAATGGCATTGGTTCTAAGAAACTTTCAGCTTCCTCATCCTAGCTCCCTTGCAACTGCTAGCAGTGTTCAGATTTTCGCAGTACTCTAAAGAACCTCGACCTACTCTGCAATTATCAAAGGTTTTCAAGTGGAAGGAAGGTAGAAAAATCCCAGAATAAAATTTATTTAGCTCTCTTCTAACCAAAGGTTAGCAATGTCACTGTGAGGGACCAAACTTAAATAAGGACAAAAGGTGTTCGAAATTTGAAAAAGTGCTTTAATTTAATTGTGTCAAAAATGGTTAACAAAGGCTCAAAAGCAATACAAAATAACTTAAATACAAAATAACATGGATCTGGGCCAAACTTAACTGAGGTCAGCTGAGGATCCAACTCAAACAAAAAAACTGACCCACAAACAAAGAACTAAAGGCTGCTTAAAAAGGGATGGAGTAACCCAAGTCTACCACATGAGGGAGGCATGACATAACAAAAGAACCAATAAATACAAAATTAACCATTCTATGAAACAAATAAAGCAAAACTAACTTTTACTTAGCAGAAACAATGAGTATTTAAGTGACAAACTAACAAATTAAAAACAACTTGAAACAAGTCTCCCCCGTCAGTCTTTCAAAAAGCAAATGGTACGCTCCAGGTTTCCTCCTCCAGCTGGTTTGCATCAGCAGCACCTCAAACAAAAGAACAAGTGTAAATAAACCATTCAGACAGACATTAATACCTGTCTAAAAGAAATAACCAACTTAAACATAAACTGTAATATAATATAAAGATATAAAAGAAATATAAAGAAAAAAATACTAACACGCCGTGGTGGTGGGAGGATCATCAACCATAGTCACACTAGCTGCATTTCCATTGCAAATGTCCTAAAAAAAAATGTCCCTATTCTGCTAATTTTAAAAATGTCCAATTTTTGCAATTGGTATTTCCATTGAATAACAAATACAACTTAAAGTGCAGGTGAATATGTTTGTTCACGCATTAACTTTGGGAACATCATGGCAGTGGCGGATGTAAACACATGAAATATATATTTCTAATAGGCTCCATCATCCTCCAAATACTCTTATTACAAGGCTGTCAGGCTCAGCTGCAGATCAGGAGACATTTTTGATGCTAAAACATTGTTTCCATTGCAGTTTTGCAAAGTGTAAGAATTTTGATGACAGAAGAAGAACCACCTCTTCGAATCATTGAAAACGTTTGATCGAAAAAAGTTTTTTTTTGTTTTATTGAAGTGTTTCTATTTAGCATATATATATTTTTTTATTACAATTTGCACGATTTTATGGTGAACGGATACACAGCTACTGCCTCGCTCTGTTCTTCCAACAAGAAGTTGAACACCTGTGATTTTCCGCTCTCTCTCAGACCTTTGCTCCTGACTGCTGCACCGCCCCATTTTACTCTAAAGCTTATTGAGATCTGGAATCTACGGAAGAGGATTAGGGCCACTGGAAAAGAAAAAAAAGTTAACTGATTTTTTTTTATTTTATTTCAGTATAGTATGGGAAAAAAGTCAGAATTCTGACTTTAATCTCAGAATTCTGACTTTATTCTCAGAATTCTGACTTTTTTTCTTAGAATTCTGACTTTTTTTATTGTCAGAATTCAGTCAGAATTCTGAGATTAAAGTCAGAATTCTGACTTTTTTCCCATGTTAAACTGAAATAAAATTTAAAAATCAGTTTACTTTTTTTTTTTTTTGTGGCCCTAATCCTCTTCCGTAGGAATCACATAGCTTGTGTTAAGATTTCCAGTTTTCCTCCAGGACTCATGTGTTTCACTTCACCCATCTTCCAATCAACTCTGACGAGCTTCCTGATCCCCGCTAAGGAGAAGTATCCCCACAGCATGATGCAGCCACTACCACCCGCTGCTATAAGGAAGATTTGTTCAGGGTGATATGCTGACTTTTTCCGCCAAAAAATTTCCAAAATAACAACAATATTTTTTATCTGATCTTACATAACCATCTTTTTCCATGTTTGCTGTTTCCCATCTGGATTGTAGAGCAGAGAATAGACTTCTTATGGCTGAAAGGGAAGTAGCTCGAATTAGATTATTGTTATTTGTGCATTTTTTAAGAAATATATAAATAATCTCATTAAAGTTTGTGGTTTGAATGTGACAAAATGTGGAAAAAAGATAAAGCAATATGAAGACTTTTGGAACTGAGCTCCTTAGAGGAAACGGAAATATAACAATTTTTATTAACAAAAACAAAAGTTTTTCATGTTAACCCTGATTAGAGGCTTTAATGCATTGTAGAGACAAAGTAAAGGTTTAATGTTGAACAAATGAAAAAGCACTAACCAGTAGGATATGAAAGAACACATTAATATGGCTCCTTATGCCACTTTTAGTCAGGGTTTATTAAACTCCTGTAAAATAACCAGTGAATCCATCAGTCGGATCTTTTTCTGCAGATGTATAGAATATTTTTGCTGTGTGACTAAAATCTTTATGACCTCTCTGTTCACGTCAACAGAAGAGCCTCCCGGCCCTGAGGCTGTCTTTGCTCAACAGTCAGCAGTCCCTGACCCAGCCCTTGCAGCAGGGAGTCAAACCAGCAGCCGGCGGCGCCCCTCCTGCCATGGTAGCTGGACCAGCTGTCCGCATTCGGCACCCTAACAGCGTCAGCACCACGGTGGGTGTCGGCGCTCTGCCCACTGGGACCGTCGGACATGCAGCTGCCATGGTATGTACAGAGCAGAGCTGTGCTCCTGAGCCGACACAGATGCAACAGCCATGTTCATGAGCATGGGAACAGTTTAAATCTCTTAATAACTCACATGCTCTAAATGCATTAACCTGGTATTACGAAATCAACTGGAAATCACAGTTAGATTTGCTTAATGGTTTTTATGTTATTCTGTTTGTTTTGGTTTAGTTAACTTCATTTAACTTGCCTAAGAGTTAGTTTAATGGAGATACATTTTAATGTTTCTACTAATAATATGCCCAAGATCTCAATGATTTACAGAAAGTACAATTTGAAGCATAGCTATAGTCCTCACCTTCGATAAATTGGGCTTTGATTTACGTTTAGGGGAAACTTCTGTGAATATTTGTGTTGCAGGGCATCAGAGAAAAAGCTGAGTTAAACCAATCTTTAATAAAACAGCTTAAAATTGAAGCTTAAAGAAAGTTTTCCTAAAGGATCATTGTAGAATCAACTGGGAGAGGGAGGTGGGAACAAAGGAAGCAGGTGGGGTATTAAGGGGAGAAGGGGAAACTGATGAGGAGGATCAACGTAGGAGGAAAGGAGAAAACTGGGCTGGAATTGACTGAGAGGAAACCTAACAGTAAATAATAAAATGAACATGATCCCAGATAAAGAACTAAATAAACAGAAGGATGATAATACTTCTATTAATAAATCTTGTATTATATCTAACAATACCTCTATAAAAGACATTTCATTCCAGCGCTGAGCCCACAACATTATAAATGACCCCTCACACCCCCACCATGGACGGTTCTACCTGCTGCCTTCTGGGAAAAGGCTTCGAAGCGTCCGATGCAGGTCCAGCACATTCCAAAACAGCTTCTTCCCCGCTGCCATTAGACTGCTGAATGTGGAATAAAACGGGGAAAAAAGGAAAAAAGTGCTGGATGTTGGAAAAATCATATACCAGTCTTATGTTTACATTTAAAAGCTGTACTGAACAAAATTTTGTTTTGTGTTCAAACTGTGTTCAAACTGACAATAAAGTCTATCTAAGTCTTAAGTTAAAAAAAAAAATCTAAGAAATAAATTGACCTAAAAATATCAAGAAATAAGACAATGAAATACTGTAAAACAAAAAAAACTGTCATGATGGGATTCAGGTTCTTAACCCACATGCAGAACACACACGGACTCAGAAGAAAAGTTCAACTGTTTATTGAAAAAACACAGAGTTAATAAAGTTGAAGCTGGGAAACAGATTCCGGGCTGGTCACAACGGGGTTCTCTGCAGAGAGGGAAAGTTCGGTTAGCCAGGATCCAAATACTACTGACTGTAGAGTTGTGCAGGTCTGTACCTGCTCTGTGGTTCAGGCTGAGCGGCAGAGGGAGGGAACCAGAAGGGTCCAGAGGCTGAGGGTCGGCAGAGGGCTAGGCAGCGGCAGGGCTTGACTTCAGACTTGATAGTGTTCAGGTTTGAGTTTCTTTCAGTTCTCTTCTTGAGAGCGGGCAGGCAGGTTGTGACAGTTTGCCCTTCCAATGAGCTCTTGAGATCAGACAGGCTGGTTTCAGCTGAGATACTCTTCCAGAGTTCCAGGGTTCAGTCAGGTTCTTCCTAGGAAGCAGAGAGGACAAAAACTGGTTAGGTTTAGATTCAGATTTTCAGGGGAGTCAGAGAATCAGACAGGCTGGTTGGCTGAGGCTTGCTAACCGTAAATGGCTTAACACTCTGGCACTGGAGTGTTGCTCTGCCTCTCCTTAAATGCTGGTCTCCTGATGAGCAAACGAGCCGCAGGTGTGGTAGGCAGCTTCAGCTCCAGGAGACTTAGGGCGCCCTCTGCTGGAGAAAGGTGGACAGACCTCCAGATCCCAACAAAAACATCACCAGAATATGATACAATAGTGTTGTTTCCTGATATTTGACCGATTTTAATTATGAAGTGTTAGATATCATTTAATTTGTGGATTTCCTTGCAGTTTGAAGAAAATTGATAAGGCTTAGAGTGGGTGTATGGGTCACTTCAGGACACAAATATGCTTTATCCATTAAAAAAAAACAAAAAAACCCCAAAATGTTTACATGTATTTGTTGTTTGAATAAAACACCCCACTACGTCCAAGTTTCACATTTCTGACTCCAGCTGCTGCCCTCAGAGGTAAGAAAATGTTATCTTAAAGAAGAATGTAGGAGGCTGGAATGGGCTGAAACTCCAGTGTCTGTGTTTAAAGTTAACAAAGTCCTCTGGTCATTTTTTTTATTTATTAAGCAGCTTCATGTTTGGTACCACAGTGACACAGAAGTCTGACTAATTGATTCTCTTTTTGCAGTCCACAAATTTAGGATATCTTTGCTAAATTTGAATCCTACGGGTATCATATGGATATCAGTCCGTTTCCTGGTTCACTGCTGCAGAAGGTTCTCCTTTGAAAGAGTCAAACTCTGTTTGGCAGCAAATTTCACACAAAGATGGCATCGCAGTAGTCATGTGAAGTTCAGCACCACCCAAACACAGCTTAGCCTGTCAGGGATGGGTTGAAACCTTTTTTTTTTTTTTTTTAAAGATTGAATAAAAGGAAACAGATTGTAGTTTGATGGGTAAGCTTAGATTTCGGACCAAGATGTCTGAAAAGTCTAAGATTTGGTGTTTGTGGCTGTTTGCACAATCATTAGCAAACATTTTGATCATATTGTTATTTCTCTGCATGTTTTGTACCTCTAAGCTGTTGGAACTTGAAAGTTTTTAGAGTTTAAGTTTATCAGGTGCGGTGTGTTTTTGTAATGAGGGAAGTTGTGATACGAGGGCATTAGTAAGCTTTATCGAGGTGTGATGTCTGAAAAGTCTAAGGTTTGGTCTAAAGTTTGGTGTTTGTGGCTGTTTGCACAATCATTAGCGAACATTTTGATCATATTGTTATTTCTCTGCATGTTTTCTACCTCCAAGCTGTTGGAACTTGAAAGCTTCTAGAGTTAAAGCTTATCAGGTGAGGGTGTGTTTTTGTAATGAGGGAAGTTGTGATACGAGGGCATCAGTAAGCTTTATCGAGGTGTGAATAATTATTAGGCTGCTTTCATTCCTCAGGGCAAATGGACCAAAAAAAAACAGCTTTAACTGACTTGGAAAAGTCCCCAAATTAATCAAAGTCTTTCAAAGGGATGGAGAAGTCCTAAAACTGCCATTAAAACCACAGAACTGTTGAAGGATTTGTTCCAAATTTCATCAAGAAATATGTTGAGAAGAAAAGTTGCAAGCAATTTACAGTAAGAAGAAGCCATTGGCCTTGTTGTGTTGTGAGTTTCTATGTGATCTGGAGAGCCTAGAAAAACAGGGTAATGCTCAATGCTTACAGACACGGTCACATTAGGAAAATTCACTGAACAACTTATGACTTTTTTAGATATTGTTTACATGTAATACTGGATTAGCATAGCCGGTTTGACATTAACAGCTGTTTAATTTTGTTTAATGTAGAAAATGTTGACCTATACCTTTTTATATGCTTGTGGGCTTTATTTTATAAGCTGGCATAAGCCAAATAAATTCAAAGTAAGCTACACATATCCATCTGGAAAGCCTGCTGTTGCAAGTGCTTGCAAAACGGAGAGACACTGAGTTTAAATCTTTGAGCTGATTGGGTAAATCCTGTGGATCATATGGTGGTGCCTGCGTCCCATGTTGAGCTTTTAGCCAATCGCAGCATCAGTAGCAGCTGCGACAAATCACCTTCTTGATTTGCTTCACAACAATGTAGTTAACTCATAAATCTAACTCTTACCAAATCTGGTCGGAACCAACTCTTAAAGGAGTAGTACGCCCAAAACATGCTTAGCCTTCATTTTCTACTCACCCCCATGCTGAACAACAC